CCAGCCGGCCGCTCGCCCGAGCATGCTGTAGCCCGCGCCATCTGTTGAGTTCATCTCCGCCTCGTTCCGACAGAGCTCTTGAAACTCTACCTCCGTCAGATCTCGGACAAGGTATCCGCAGTTCTTGTTGAAGTATGCGAGTCGGTCGTATTGTAACTCAGCGTCTTTGAGAGCCTTGTAGACGGCCGAAGCAGCGTTGTCGTGCTCTTCGCTCGACTTTGGGAGGGGGGGCGGAGGGCAACCTTGAATAGGGACCTAATAAAAATCACCACTTTGTGGATACAAGTCTTCTCGTCCCCTGACCTTGACCACAAGCATGTCTTTGTTCAGATGTGGGTTCGGACGACGACTGCTCGGAACACCTGTTTGACAAGGCCCAGCAGTCTTCTGCTCAGCATTGGCGAAGTGTGTGAACTGATATCCGGCAGCATTCGTGGAAGCCCTCAGACCCGGGTGCCGGGGCTTGGCCAATAGTAAGCGTTTTGGCCTCAGGTGCATGGAGGAAGTAAGGTGTAAGAGGGTCTGACTGAATCTCTTGTTGCTTGAGACCGTTGATGACTTTGGCAAATAGGACATCATACTCATGCTGTTCTGGTGATAGTAGGAGTGTGATTTCCAAACTGCTTCTCTCAGTGGAACTTCCAGGAGAAACATTCGCCTGAAGAAGCTGAGCTGTGACAGAGGTCGTTCGCCATGCAAAGTGTCAACCAGCATGTGAAACGTGCCTTGAGCGATGCGGAGAAAGGCAGCCTGGGTCTTAACTGAAAGAACGGCAGGCTTGCTGCCAAAGATTTTGGCCTTGGCACAATACTCCTCGAGGGAGGTTGCGGAATTTGGGTGCTCGTTCGCTGATGCTTTAATGACATCTTTGACGAATACTGTCAAGTGAGCGAGCTGGTTGGAATCAATACCAATGCCATGAGCATAGCATGAGAGATGTAACTTGCTGTAGTCGTTGTTGGGGAAACGAAGGTTGGCATATTGAGAGTGCCGATCTCAGAATGCTGTGCTTCTGTACATGTAGGAGTGATGATGGGTACACCGTTGATGGATAGAAATGCAGAAGGGTTTGGAGAACTCTTCCCTGTGGCCACCGTCGTGAACACGCGGCGGGATCAGGCAGGCATCAGGCATACGTGTTACCGAGTTAGATCCTCCTTCTTATTCATTCTGACATCCAATCAACTCTCGCCTGGTGTTTGTGGTTGACAGTGCAGGTAGGTGACAGAAGAATCGTTACCTAAGGCTTAGGCTACTAAAATAAAGTAGCCTAAAAGCTACTCTAAGTAAACATAAAGTAATCAAATTATTTCGTCTCTTATGCTCTTGGCAGGAGATTGCTATCTTAATTGTAACCTTAACAAGCTCATGTTTGCATCACTCATCGTAAGGCATGCTTTTGGGTGACCTGTTCAGCCAACACAGTCATCAGAGATGAAGAGAACTTGACACTTGCGGAACTATACAGTATCTCCATCATCCTTCAATCTCTCGAGGCAATCATGGATGTGCCTGCAACTATCTTGGATTTTGAAAGATTTCTAGGAAGTGTTTTTGACGGATGGACTTCTGCTACCCCTATTGATGCAGCAGCTTTGCTGCCTCGGCGGCAGTTCAACCACACAGCTGTACACAGCTAGCTTCCAGACTCAGCACACCCTCTTCCGATAAGTTTGGATACCAGCAACTGGACCGCCGTCAACGCCGTCATTCTGATCGCCAAGTCCGTTATCACTAGCTATGGTCTAGCTATTATATAGGAATAAACCTATAAGAGAACTAAATAACCGCTCATATCCACGTGAATCACAATCCCAATGATGTACGTCACTATTCCACAGCTGGTCTATATTAATTGGACTCTGGATTATCTGACCAGTCTGTCACCATCGCTCAGATGTCAACGTTTTTATGAATTCACAAGGATAGAAGGAAGTGTTATCCCAGCGATGTCTATTCTCATAACCCAGTATGTATCTTCTCCCATTCCGATATTTCTCTCGTCCCAATGCAATTCCAATCCCTTTTCGCAATCCCTTAAGTGTAGCAAAAGCATGTCCCATATCCCGAGCCCCATGCCCGGTTGTGTCGCATGTCCTGTTGCGGCCCAAGTTCCGTTTCGTTCCATATCCCGTCCCAAAAGATTCCCAAAAGTAAAACAGAAAAGAGCAAATGAATAAGATAAACTCCAGATTCCCACCCACTTAGTGCTCCCGTGACTCTTTTCGCCATTGCATATGCTCCAAGATCTCCTTGAGCTCAGCCTCCTGGGCATCACTTGCTAGCAACGGCTTCCTCAGTCGATGGGCTCGTAGGTTATCGTCGATGGCTGGAGTTTTATCCTCGTTCCTCGAAGCCGCTGCAAAATACTTGATACGCTTTCGACCAAGGGCAACAAGGTAGTCTCTGTTCCAGGACGCAGTAGTCTTTCGTTGGAATCTATCGTGGGCCTCCATTGCTGCAAACTTGGCCTTTGAGATAGAAGAGTAGCCAATTAGCAGTACTTTATCAGGACCAGTAAAGCTACTTGCTCCTGTTTTCCACTTGATGTTCAAACCAGACTTTTTGGTAACAGATACCGTGCAGTATGCCTTTTGCCCTGGCTGTTCAACCTTGGTTCGTTTCGCTGAACGCCCGCCATCGTTATCGGCTTTTCTTTTTGAGCCAGGAATGCTTGCGCTGGTTCCATGAGTGGCTGAATCATCTCTCATAACTCCTACCTCGACGCCGGTATCCAAAAGCTCAGGTCTAGGAGGGGACGCTGAGGGCTCCTTGAAAGGCGATGGACTTCGCGAATTCTAGTCGTCGAAAATAAGATCCATGAGTCGCATTCTCATTCTTTCGATAACTTCAGTTGCCTCTGGATAGAACCCCATCACAAGGTCGTCGAAGGAATGGAGTTCCTTGAGCGTGAGATCATCTTCGCTTAGAATGACTCTCTCCAAGCAGCGTTGGTCAGCTGTGGCTTTACTGTCGCCCATCTCGGTCTGCGCTCAAGTGGTTAGATGAAGCTCAGGTAAGGGGTCGAGAGATTATTTACCTACCGCAAAATCAATAGAGACGATAGTTTTTCGTTGGACGAGAGGCGTATTTACTTTAATGAACAGAATGATACTAATGATCTTCTTGCATCTGCAAAGGTCGGCGTAACGTGGATCACGGTGGTTAGAGAGGGAGGTGAGGGAAGGAAGTTGGTACAGGCCGTTATCCAATTATTCATGATATAGACCGACCCTTTGGGCTTCAACCTCTGGAATTGTCAGTGCCAACAGCAATTGCTGACAGTGCTCGGCTAGCATACACAGCTAGGTTCCAACCCCAACACACGCTCTTTCAATAAGTGTATCAATACGCTATTGGTAGCAGCTCAGCAGATGACTTTAGCATGCCAGAGGGGTCCCTATCTTGTTTGACCATCCAGTACAGAAGCCGGCGTTCAACAGTTTATCTCTTCTGGGGGTGCCAACATGGCTTGGCCTCAACTATCAACATGAGATACCTATCGCTGGCATTGGGGGTACTTCTAGCTATTCTATAGGAATAAACCTATAAGGGAACTAAAGTGTAACCGCTCAGGTCGATGTTAATTACAACTCCAATTATGTACGAGTTCCGCTCGTTTATTCCGGGAAAGTACAATAAAATTGCTGTTCTAGCTGATTGTAAAATCCGTGAGGGTGTATGTTGTGTTGTCACATCTTCTGTTTTACTATTCCACAGCTGGCCTATATTAATTCAGACTCTGGATTAATATCCGATTGGTAGTCTTGCCCTTCCCTATGCTCCACTATAAGATGTGGAGGCTTTTGAGCTATATCATCAACCATCACCTATGCTTTTGGCGAGAAATGGGCGATGAATATGAACAATGTTGCCTCGTCTATAGTCGCAGCTTCATCAACAATAACGATATCAGGCTTAAACAATTCGCGAACAAGAGTGGGCTAGCTCCAGGGAGTAGTTGCCACAACGCCGAAGAAACTGCTAAGCGTGTCTCTGTAGAGTTCTTTGCCCTTTTACTTGGTACTTGCAAAGTCTCCTTCTTCAAGAAGTAGCATAATGCGATCAGTAATTGCATCAGGATCACTATCATCGCCACTACAAAATACCACCGTGATCACGTATCTTGACCACTCACGGTTGCAGACTTCCAAGTTTGTACAGCACTTGGGTGTCGTCTAAGAGTTGCTGCAACGTGCTGTTTGTTATCTAGTCTCGGCTCGCTGCATTGCCCGATGCACGTCAGTAGTAGTAAAGGGTCGCATGTTACACTTGGGCCGAATCAGGCTATTAGTCTTCACTGAAACCCAAAGGCTGCAGCTGGTGTCGGTTGAATTGAGTGAAGTCAGATCTCGCTGGTAGTTACACCGAGTGGGGGTCGGGTCAATGTCATCCGTTCGTTCGCGCGACATTGCATCCCACTATGCGACGACTCAACAACACAACACCTCATTAAACCATCACCAAATTCATGTCAGTGAAATAAATAAATTCAATCGCAAGTGCTCCTTCCTCGGTCGGGTAGAATGAGTGTTTATCGTTATCGTTGTCGCGGACCGGCCCGTTGGCCGAGGCTGTAGTTCCTAATCGGGCAAGTTGTCAAAACACCAGGCTCACATATCACGATATCGAGGAGTTTTTGACAATATCTTTAACATTTCTTCGTCGAATACGTAAAACTAAAGTGGAATCATGTACAAATTGATCATGCAGTTACAACGCCGCCCATATTTCTTCCATAAATCCTCAACTCGCTTCGCAATCTTAGTATAGCTTGATGGCAACGGACTTGTTCTGTGTGTAGTTGGCGAGGGCTGCCTCGCCGAGTTCTCGTCCAATACCACTCTCTTTGTAACCTCCGAATGGCAATTGGTGGTGCAGCATGTTGTAGCAGTTCACCCAGACAGTTCCGGCCTTCAGAGCGTTGGAAACGCGGATGGCAGTGTTGAGGTTCTGGGTGTGGACGGCAGCAGCGAGACCGTAAGCGGTATCGTGGGCAAGGTCAATAACCTCAGCCTCATCCTTGAACTTGGAAATAGCGCAGACAGGGCCGAAGATCTCCTCCTGCATGATCTTCATGTCGGGGCGGACGTTGGAGAAGATAGTGGGCTTGATGAAGTAACCCTTGTCACCCAGGCGCTCACCACCGATCTCGACGGTGGCACCCTCGTCCTTACCGGCCTTGATGTAGCCCATGATACGGTCGTACTGGAGCTGAGAGACCTGGGGACCCTGGAAGGTCTCCTCGTTGAAGGGGTCGCCAACCTTGTTCTCCTCAGCTCGCTTCTTGAAGGCAGCGAGGAACTTGTCGTAAATGGACTCCTGGACGAAGATACGAGTACCAGCACAGCAGCACTGGCCGTGGTTGTAGTAGATACCGAAGTTGACCCAGTTGATGGCCTCCTCGATGTCGGCATCCTCGAAGACGATGTTGGGGGACTTGCCACCAAGCTCGAGGGTGACCTTCTTGAGGTTGGAAGAGGCAGCAGCCTTCATGATCTGTCGGCCGATGACGGTGGAACCAGTGAAGGCGATCTTGTCAACGTCCATGTGAGAAGAGAGAGCGGCACCGGCAGTCTTGCCGTAACCAGAGACAAGGTTGAAGACACCAGCGGGGAAACCAGCCTGCTCGATGAACTGAGTGAAGACGAGAGCGGAGAGAGGAGTCTGCTCAGCAGTCTTCATGACGACAGTGTTACCGGTGGCCAGAGCAGGTCCGATCTTCCATGCCAGCATGAGAAGGGGGAAGTTCCAGGGGATAATCTGACCGCAAACACCGATCTATGGCATGTTAGTATCATATTATAGCTAATTGGGATATATGGTGACTTACAGGCTCGGATCGGGTGTAGTGGAACATCTCGGGAGCAATATCAATGGTCTTGCCCTCGATCTTGTCGGCCCAACCACCATAGTATCGGAGGCAGCCAACGACGGCACCGACATCACCACGGGCGTTGGTAATAGACTTTCCGTTGTCGAGAGACTCAACAGCGGCGAGAAGGTCGAGGTTCTTCTCGGCGAGATCGGCGAGCTTGAGGAGGAGGTTGCCTCGGGTTTGGGGAGCAGTTTTTCTCCACTCGCCATCGAAAGCCTTGCGGGCAGCGGCGACAGCCAGATCGATATCCTTCTCGGTACCCTCGCAGATGGAGGTGATGACCTCCTCGGTGGAGGGGTTGATAACCTCGAACTTTCCCTTGTCGACACCCTCAACCCACTTGCCGTCGATGAAGCTGGTAACTGTTAGTATTTTGTAGGGACTGATCATGTATATCAAGACAACTTACAGGCCAATGGGCTGCTGGTAGGTACCAGTAACGGGAGTGGACAACTCAACAGTGAGAGCCATTGTGTATAATATGTTTATATGGTAGGGAGAGAAAGGGTATTGGGTATCTTAAAGCGAAGAGGTTATATAAAAGAGAAGAGGAGAGTTGTGGATGAGAGAGATGATCTGGAAGAGAGAAGGGATAGTTGAAGACGGGAAGCAGGAGTATTTATTCTTGAGAACCGGCGCGGGGTTTTTCAGAATTCTGCAGAGGTGGGAGAATGGAAAAGAGACCTTGAGAGTGAAGTGAAGGGGGGTCTGATACAAATCGGGGTGTGATGTGCCTCGGTGGAGGAGGGGGAGGGGGTGGAAGTTTTAGTGACGCCAACTTTCCCCGCAACAGCCTCGCCTCACACGTCTCAAGCAAGGTACAGAGAGAGTACGTATTCTAACTTAGGGGACCAGACCGAACCCGAACCCATGTGGATAAGCGGTATCCATTTGGATTGCACGGACAACCGCTGAGAGCTGCGGCGGCGAGAGAGAGGAAGAGCGGGTGGACGGCGCCCCGAAGAAACAATGGAGCGCCGAGATGGAGAGTACATACAGTACTGTACTGCATGGTGGCGGTGGACAAGTTCTAGCACGGTTAGTAGTCGAAACGTCACGTAATTACTTGTCGGTGTTCAGTTGTTGGATCATAGGACAGTACATTCAATACCGTACCTAGGTTCGGAACGGCTCAATGGTAAGAGGGATTCTCTAAGCCGGCACAACCCCAGATCACGTCAAAGATGCTACGAGACAGAGAGAGGTCACTGAAGGGAACCGAACCGCGGGGCAGAGAGCAGGGATTCAGTTTCAATGCGGTTGCTTGTACATTTTAGATACTACCTAGGTTACCTAGTAGGTACCAACTATATGCCGACAAAAGCAAAACCTCTATTCTGCAGCTCTTCTTCAACAGCCCTGTCCTTGGATCGTAAACGGTTGCTGTACCTACCAACCACCTGTCCTTGTCCTATCTTGATACAACCAAACTGCATTTGCTCTACAATTACGGATCTAGTTCCCAATCCTGTTCCACGACCCGCTGTTGTACTTGTACTGTAGACTACCCTCTGCTTCCACAGCAATCTTTATCCACCCCGCCAAAGTGGATAGAAGATCTGGTAAATCTACAAATCAAAAGGGTCGATACAAAGAACAAGGTCAGGACCGCCACCAAAAAGACACTCGAGCTCCAAGCTCTACCCCACAGCCGGATCCACAGTGTGACCAATGATTGGGGGGATCTTTCTCAAGCTTAACAGTAACTAACAGTAACTGTAAAAATTGAGGATACCTTTTACGGATACAAATCGTCAGAGCTTTCGGACAGAGAAAAGGGTCCTTCGAGACGTGTCAATGCGTCAGCAGATAGCTTGACTCAGGACATATGTCAAAGCTTTTGGCGGAACAGAAGAGCAGAGCCGCGTATTGTATCCATAGACATTTGTCTCTGTAGAAGAGATGTACCGAGAATTACGTAGTGGACCAAGAGCTGAATTGGTTGCAAGCTCTGACAAATCAATCTATCAGTGATGCATAACGAACCCCTACGGCCCGAGGCACTACTTGCCTATCCTGTACTGGCCTACAGTCCATATCTGCCCTGTAACCTTAGAACACAGTCTGGCAGTCCAGCATCCATTACCTACTGTCATGCAGCTAACAGCAACTAATGTGCCGCAATGAAACAATAACCGCACATCAGTCTCCAAAGCTTGGACGGTTTCATCATCGGTGTTATTTGCTAATAATGCCGTTTACCTAGGTACTATAGTCGGGAATTTCGTATACCGTAGCCTTTTACTCAATGATGATCAACTTTATAGTAAGCGGGTAACAGTTAACCTCCATTGTACCGTACCCTCCTCTAAATCCAACGGTCTACAGTGAACCGCAGCCACCCACCAATCCATTATACTGATCGACCCATACCTCTTTAACATCTCCGAATACTGCAGCCTTTAGACTCAACCAACCAATCCTATCAAGAGCGCATGGCTCTCGACGTACGGTTTGTGCATATTCCTTCTGTCCATGTTGGGGATTCAAAACTGTCTAGGGTAACGTCAAATCTCAACTGGGAAGCTCGATATGTCTACAACCTCAAACCCGCATAGCCAAGCGCTATCTGGTGCAGAATCCTTGCTTGGTCTGGGGAAATCATTCGACTCCCAACATGGGGTACATACGATAGAAAGATCACTTGTTGGTTTCGGAATTTCGGAACCGCTTCTTGACCACCCCCAGAGAAGCCACAGCCGCATCGCTTGTGAGGACAGAATGGTACATACACTAGGGGTCGGAAAACAGAGTGATTTTTGGTAAAAAGGAATTCCGCTGTTTCGACCCCGAGATACAGTACCTGGATGGCCCTATTCCTCTAACAGGTGCTCTGATCTAACTTGGATTGTCTGTGGTACTGTACGCATGATAACATCAGGGTCACTCACACCCCCAACTTGACGACACGGATCTCAACATTACCATGGCAGCCATGGCCATCTTGTTTGTCCGATGGCTGTGCTGTCAATGCTACAGTGATAGACTAATAGACTAATCCGTACACTAGTGGGATATGAGATCTTCACATCTGCCGTGCCATCCAATGTGGTCCCTCAACCCGAACCATACATCACACTTTCCCTTCTTGTATATGTATCTTTCAAGCATATTCTACGACTCCACAGGTATTGTCAATAATCAAAATTTTCTATGTAGGCACATCCACAAGAGCTGTATTGTTGGTGCTGGTTGCTGAGAGACCAACAGACTGAGGGTCTTCGGCGTAAAGGGTAGCGAGTCCATCGACATGCAGTGACTTGACCCCGCACAAACAATCCTGGTTAGTTGCGGTATCTGTAGATTGCCTTTCGTTACTTTTTCCAATGGCAGCGTCTCGAAAGGCTCTCCAATTTCCTGGGGCAGAGCCGTTCACCCTAGTCTGGTCTAACTCCCCCGCCCCCCGTGACGTTCCCTATGACCGAAGAGACGTTGGAAACTTAAACACATTGACTCTAGACCTCGTACTGCACTGTTTGTCGCGGACCCGCAGACTTGCCTTTGCCCTGTCTTACTCTTTACCTTTTGGGTTGGGAAGCAATTGCGGCTCCGCTGCGTCTCCGTCTCCGTCACGCCGGCAAAGGCGGGGACGGCCCCACTCACACTTACACCCCGCTTCCGAAGCGACTTCCACATTGGACTTCAACACGTTCCCCCAGACTCTCGGCTCTCGCTCAGGCATTTACCTCAAAGCTCAAGGCTCTAAGTTAAGCGTATCTTATTGGGAGATTTCATTGGACGAATCAGTGTAGTCTTGACCACATGGCATGATGTGCCTCATTCTGGGACTGGGCTATTAGCAATAACACTAGATCTCGTCTCGTCTTTTCCAGATCAATGCGTCGACACATGATTCCATATAGCTAGTTGATCTCAATGATGATCTGCTGTCCTAAACAGGTTGTGTATCTCTTGGTGCCTAAGTAGAAGCGTAAAGGTATCTCCACCACCAGGCTCGTCAACCTTCTCGGCAGCAGACGAATTATCCTCTAAGGGTTAGGATATTGAAATTAAATAGCCTATGGGCTGATCTAAAATGTCATAAATTGCCGAAATCATTTCGTCTCTTAGGCTCTTAGTGGTCCAATTCTACTAATGCCCCAATGTCAACCTCATCACGTACCTGAGTTAAGATGACCGCTATCCGGACTTACACGGTTACAGCTAAATTATTAAACCCATACATGTAGAAACTGATAAGCTGTTTCTGCATGTAGGTATGCCATGTTGAACTTACTAAGAAAACTCTTAGCGAGTGGCAACTCTACACTTACAAATCAGCCTCATCACCTCCGCAAAACTGACCCAACAGCAGGCCAGATAAAGCAACATGACAGATCATATACTCCACACTCAACTCTCGAGAGCCGCAATTGTTGAGATTGGAGATTCAAAGACAGACATTGTCCTACCATAAACTCCAATACAGGTGAGACATGGTCCAGGCTCTTCCGCATCCTTCAAACATTGCGGCATCTACGGACCCGCGACTCCAGTTTTTGCCTCGTTTTACCCCGCTGAATTACAATAACTACGGCTCTTTAGACGCCTGTATGCATATGCGGCTACCCCACATCCGGGGCCGCAAGTGTTTCTCCTCATCCCCGACTAGGGGACCGATTTGAGCTGGGGCGGGCACGGCTCCGTTCTGACTTGAGCTTGGGTGTGTGATTAGACGTGTCAGACGACATCTGGTGTCTGCAAGTACTGTAGATCTTATATCTCCAGACTTGGACGTCAATATGGTTGGGGAGTGGTAGATGGGAGCTGATCACCACGCGATGAGCTGGGTTCAGTGTTCCTGACTGCCACGTTGTGTCCGGTCCAGCGGTAATATGTGAATCTGGTTCTCTCAGCGCCTGGAAAAAGCTCACTCTGGAGCTAGTGGATAGTTTTACCGGTAGATTTCGGGATTTATGAGGTCCCTTGTCCCCCAGGCTCTCCCCAGATGGTCTGTCACTCAAGCCGAGCACAGCTCCCCTAGAAACTCCCGTCCCCCGGACCATCTGTTTCCCCAGATGCGCTTAAATAAACAGATTTAAGACTATCAAGTTGATAAGACTCCTCACGTGAGTTGTTGGCATTGGTACTTGAGTTCACGATCAGCTCTACCAAAAGATGTTCCAGAGGAATAGTCATTCGACACTTCCCTCTAAGGTTAAAAAGTCAAGAAAGTAAATTCAAATATAAACCAGTATTTTATTGCTTATTTCCTTCTTGTTAACCTGTTTTGCGTTATTTGTCTGCTCATTGTGTTTGTTTGCTAGCTAGGTGGTTGGCAGGTACTTGCATCTACGAGAACTAGGGGCATGGATTCAGAAGCAGCCAAAGCCCAGTTCAGTAGCCGATAAATAAGCTTTGAGAGAGTAATAGTTTCTAACTCTTTTTCTCTTCATGCTCGTCTGGTGCACTACTTATTATCCAGTCGAGTTTCATAGAGTGAGCGACACCTATCGTTTGTTCAGCCTTGACAATCTACCCACAAGAAGTGAAGTAACTGCTTAGCTTTGATCTACCTGTAATGTCTACGACACTACTATTCATATAAACTTAGAACGGTTTTGATGAAGCAAAATGAGAAAAGAAAGTGTAATACCTGATGTGTTTTACGGTTTTTGCTACTGCTGTTTTTTTCTAATCTGCATCTCATGGGGACGCAAGTAAATTTCTCGACTATGAGACGCAAAGAATAAAGAACACAAGACTCATTTCAAACTTTTAAATCCATAAATGGAGACCAAGTCTTAATCAAAATGAACGATATATCTGAAAGGGCTTATCCCTTCAAAGATCACCTAATGGGATCTCTGCGGTTGGGCAGTAAAGGGAAAGGAAGTTGTACTGTTCCTATGCGAAAGTGCTATAGTATGGAATGGCGCTCAACCAGCTCTATTATATGAGCCTCTACTTGTTACTCACAACGAATAATGCGAACTTTCTTGTATTTCGGAAGTCGAGATCCAATACTCACACTGACAAGCTTACATGACAATAGGGTAAGCTACTTCACTAGCAGAACTGGAACTTGAACTAGATTAAACACCAAGCATCTCTAGGAATGTAAGGCAAGCCTGAAAGAGATTAAACCACTTCATCGTCACGAAAAGTAATTAAAAAAAAATTGTCCAGAAAGAAGGGAGTAACTGTTGGCGTGCAAATGTGATCGTGATGTATCTCTACAGTCTTGCATCGAAGCTGAATCTCATGGGAACTTGAAATTTCTGACATTATGAAACCCGCTATCATAAGGTCGACGAAACACCATAAGCCCAATTTTTGAATCATACATACTCATGCCTGCTAGCTTGGTATCTATAAGTTGGACGCATTCGTCTTTGTCTTCTGCTAGTGTTGGTAGTTGGCAGTGGAGCTTTGACGGCCGAGGCTCCGTTGTAGTGTAAGCTTGTACCTGCAGCTGGAGCAGTGATTGGCCAAGATAGCTCTCCGCCAAGACGCCAGCGGGAACCTCCTCCATCTCCTTTCACAGCATGCTTCATGACGTTGCATCTTAACTCCTCCCTCAATAGCCAAACAGAGCTCTACTTCAGCAATACAGTCTTTAACGCCCTCGCTCATCCTGTCGCCTCCGTCCCGAACATGCTCCCGTGTAGAAATGCTGCATCTGTCATCTCATAGCCGTCTCAATCCACGCGCTCGTCGCTGAGCGGCCTCCCTTTCCCGCAATGGCCCCAGAAGCTCCGAGCAACATCCGCGTATTTATACGCTGGCACGATCAGACTGTCTTCGCCGGCGAGGAAGTCAAATGTACCGTTACTTTTAAGAACGTAGCGCCCGCTCCAGGCCAGTCGAAACCGCCGCCGCAGCAGTCAGAACGAAGTCGACTGGCCTCGCCCTTACATACCCGACCCAAGTCGAATCAAGGCTTAACCCCACCGCCATCAGCATCCTCAGGTAGAGGACACCGCCGCTCTGCTCTCTCGTTAAGTGTTCCTGCGACTCAATCACATAGCCGCAGAGGCTCAGTTCAATGGCCTTCATCACCAAGTACAAGCGATCGCGGTTCGGGGCACTCCCACAAGCGCTCCGTTTCCATCGTCTCAATCGGATCCAATAATACTGTCGAGGACCACACACAACGCAATGATCTCCCAGCTCGACCTCAAAGACCGCATCGCGGCCACGGGCGCGCTTCAAGTCTACAAATACTTCCTCGAGCCCAGGGTCACCTACCCACTGGGCCTCATTCTGGTAGATTGCTCTCATTCTCTCCCTTGACTACCAGCTAACGAGTTTCAGCATCCTTCTCTCCTCACCGTCTTTCAAGCTCTCCATTATTTCACGCTTCATACCCTCCGCCTGATCGATTTGGCCGAATATCTCGCTCGCCGACAAACTCTCAGAATCCAATTGCACCAGGCCAGCGAAGAGCATCTCCATTGGGATCGCCGTCAGAAAACCCAATGCCAGAATTCCGCTTCCCTGCCGCGCCTCCACCTACTCGAGAGGAAGCCCCGCCGTTATCTAGAAGATCAACGAACGAGAATATGCTCAGTCCCAAGAATGCTGTAGGTGATTCTGGTTTGCCGGTTCGCCCTAAGGATGGCGTTCCTACTATCAACGAACAAGTTGCCCCTGCACCCGCAGCCCGCATTTTGGCAAGCAGTGGGGTCTTGGGGGGAACACCACGAAGCAGCGGAGAGTTTTACTCGGTCAGCAATAACTCGTCAGAAACTCTGGTTTCAGAATATGTGACACAACCACCTAATCGGCATGCACGACCACTGCGAAGAAGTCTCGGTATGACTGCGGCGCAAACGAGAGCACCCGAATCGCTTATGATGGGCTATGCTCAATTGCACGGCTCTTTCTCATTAGACGGATCATTAGTCAGTCTCACACAATTCGATCAAGTCAAAAAGAAGGGTATCGTTGGGCAGGGAGGCGGTGTCGTTGGGCTCGAATCTAAACGCGACAGCAGCCTACTGGGAGGATTCGGATGGGGTCGTATCAGCAGCTCACTCGGCGACTTTTTGGGTGGAGGAGAGCTTAGCACCATCAAAGAGATGCGCGGAGTTGCAAATTCCAAGTCTGTACCTCTTTTGACCACGCCGCAGTCCATTCTATTCGTCGATTTGCAGCTGGCACCTGGGGAAAGTCGAGTGTTTGAGTATTCATTCAAACTTCCAAAGGGCCTACCTCCGTCTCACCGTGGGAAAGCTGTCAAGATATCTTATAGCCTGGTTATTGGCACACAAAGGGCTGGCGGTACCAAAGAGCAGCAGGTCAAATCAGTCGAAGTCCCGTTTCGAGTTCTGGGAAGCGTCAATAGCCATGGTGAAATTCTGGGCCATGATTTGATGAACCCGTACATCCTACTACAGGATTTAGCCCAAGTCAAAAGTCCTTCGAGCAGTGATAAGGAAAAGGCACCAAAGACCAACGGCGATGGGGCAAAGGGACAGCAGTCAGCGCTGAATGACTTTTTACTATACGTGGACGACCTGGTACATCGACCTCGAGATGAAAGTGGTAGTATCGTTCTTTCTCCAGGTGCCGGTAATTCTAGGAGACCATCGACATACGAGGAAGCTAGTACCGCTCAGGAAGCTATCCATATGGCAATTATGCGAAGCAATATGACTTCTGGTGGGCAACAGAGTCCAAACCGTTTCGAGATTGCTCGCAACGGACAAAGAGTTGGCGTGGTGATGCTTACGAGGCCTGCCTACCGACTGGGTGAAGTGGTCACGATGGCGATCGACTTTACAGATGCGGATATTCCATGTTACGCAGTGCATACCACACTGGAAACGTCAGAGAAGGTAGACCCATCTTTGGCGATAAGATCCGAGTCGAGTATTCATCGAGTGACACGAAAGGTTTACTCATCCTCATCTGAGGCAACGATGTACTCACGACGGGTGACATTCAAGCCGACAATCCCAATTACTGCGACTCCCGAGTTCGTAACCAGTGGAGTAAGCTTAGAGTGGAAGATTCGTATCGAGTTTGTGGTGCCCTCTACAGGAAGCGATTCTCCAGATGAGAGTGAGAGACGCGCACCTCATCCACTACTTGAGCAGATCTCACAAGATGAGAAGGGAGGGACAGTGCTTGTGGCCGTTGAGAATCTGATATGTGAGAGCTTTGAGATTGCAGTACCCCTGCGAGTCTACGGAGCCGTTGGAACAGGATTAGAGCGCCTTGAACGAGACGAGGCGTCTGAAGAAGGTCTCGCTGTATGATTGGTATTGGATTCATCGTAAACAATGAGATGAGGGGTTGGATACTTGACTTTTATGAGATCTTGAACAACTCGGACCACAAAGAGAGGCCTTGTTACAAAAGGACGTTTGGCGTTTGCAGGAGATATTCAAAAGAGAAGGAGTACGTATAATCGAAGAGAATAAGGTGTTTTGGAGCTCAAGCCACCGGCATGAGTATATGCAGCTGTGATATAACTGTGGTCCTCTGAGTTGTTCATGCATTTAAGAAACCCCATTGCCCAAGCAAACCATGCTCTCAAGGCTTAACGACAACGCGTCTCCAATATTTGAGGCTGTCGAATGTTTGTTTAGGTTTTATGACATGGATATCGAGTGGCTTTGGAGGTTCTTGTTTGGAAAAGGAGACGAGCGCACAGATGGTTGATTGTCCTGCTGAAGAGCCGGGATTAATGGATCGGCTGGTCTATCGAAAGCCTGCCCAAGCTAAGTGAGACAATCACGATTAACAAATACAATGTAAACAAGCGAAAAAGGGCTAAGGTCTAAAGGTAGAGGGCTAACAGGGACGGGACGGTGTTGGGGAGCATCTTCATTTCACCAAGCGCCGGGATTAGTTAGACAAGCGGATAACGGCTATGGAGTAACGGAGAAGATAGGGCTTCTTGCCTTCTTCTATCTTAGAAAACGGGTCTCTTCAGGCAGAGTTTGCTTTTTGTTTATTATTGTGATCTCGGTGTCGATGATTATGGTCAAAGTGGAGGTTTGATGTGTTGTTATTCTGGTCAATGGAGTCGGTTGGGGGGATCGTGGCTGGTGGCTCGACAACAATTGGGTGCTGGGAAGACGTACGAGAGTTTAGACAAAAGATCATGTCATCTATGGTTGTCAGATTGAAGAAAAGTTTGCAGTCACACGGCCAAGAATCGATAGATGAAGTCTCAATTGTAGGCGATTGTGTCTGGGTCCTTATCGCTGTCACCAACAAAGAGTCCAGGTTCAATATCCATCACCGTCCTGGCCTGAAGTGATTCAAGGTGATAGCCACTTATGGGAGGGCTAGACGACAAGGATCAAGCGGCCCAAGAATCAGCTCCAACTCTCGCCCAGACCACATGAGAGGAACAAGACGTCAGGGTCTTGGCTCTCATTCGAAGAGAACAGGGACCCCTGGCAACCAAAGACATGGGCCCATGTAAACAATCCCAGTAGAACAACCTCTCCAGCGCCTACCGTATCGAGACCCAGGCTTCTGGACTTGAATTTGGGGCTCTTTCTTCCTCGACTATTGACGGGAACGGAATGGCTTGGGGTTAGGTTGGGATATTGTAACTAACTTAAGTCAGAAGAAAGTCATCGACATTCCATCCCATGAGTTGGTGCGAACCTTCTTTTTTCTTCCTCTTTTTCCCTCTCATCACCGACCGCTTTCGTTGGGAGATCATGTCTCTCTATGTCGCTCACTAACCATATCTAGATAATCTAATATATAATAATAGTCATTGTAAGTGCAAAGTTCAGGTAGCAAGAGCTACCTAGACTCTCGCTCGGCTTCCAACCTCTTTCCCTCTCCACTGAAGCAAACAAACTAACGCGCGCCTTCCTCCCCGCAGCCTTTTTCTGCACTCTTGCATCTCAATAATCGTCTTTTCAGCCCCCGCAGGCCCGCAGCAGCTTCCCGACTTACACCGCCCACCATCCACTTTTTTACTGTACTGTACAGCATCATCCTACTTCCATTCTGCATATTCTTCGCATTTTCCTTCGTGGGCGATAGGCATTGGTTGTCCATTCTTTCATCTCTTTCATCTCCAGTCTTCTCTGTTCTTCGTTCAGGTGTTTGTTCTCGCTTGGGGGTTATCTGAGACCGGGCACTGTTCTTAATGCTTCATTACTGCAATATCTGAATCAACCCACTAGTCGACTTTCTCAACCATAAAAAACTCACCAAATATTCTTTACCAAGTGTCAATGGCGGAATCATGGCAGCGACTCCTTCCCACGGCCGCCTAAAGCTTACTCCTTCAAACTCTCCGTTCTTAGGTCGTCCGTCAAGGTCTTCCAGGTCGCCTATGCGTGGTCGACCCCACGATAACTCCAAGCTTTCCCTCAAGCGCGTCATCGGTACTACCTGTTCCTCGCCTACAGGATTCGATACTCTCTCATCCGCTTTTGCATACATTGCTGGCGGGGCTGTTGTTGTGGTGGATGTCAATGGCGAGAACCACTCTCAACGCTTTTACCGAGCTCGACCGACTGCCGTCCCTCTTTACTCTGTAGCAACCTTCCAGAATACACCATCCACACCTTCAGGAACACCAAAGGCGAACGATAGCCGTGGCCGTGCAGGTCCTAGATATCCCAACTCACCACATACATCATCCGATTGGAACGAATCTCCCAGTAATACATGGACGAGCCGTGAGCGAATCAAGGCTGCAACATGCCTTGCTCTAAGCCGAGATGGAAAATACCTAGCTGTTGGCGAGACAGGCTATTCACCCCGGGTTCTGATCTTTAACCTGCACGACACCTCTTCCGACAGCCCTTTGGTATCAATTAGCGAGCATGCCTTTGGGGTCAATTGCGTTGCTTGGTCTGCAGACACACAGTATCTTGCATCTCTTGGAGCTGCCAATGACGGATTTCTCTTCATCTGGAAAGTCGACCCACGGACAGGTGCGGCGAAGCTCTTCAAACAGAACCGATGCACTTCCTATGTCAAAGACATGGTCTGGATAGGCAATTCTCTTGTCACATTTGGAGTTCGACATGTCAAGATGTGGAAACCGGAAGATGGACCTGCTGTTTCGCCCACGAAACAAAAATTCTTCAGCGAGCAGCCGGCATCTACACCACCCTCTCAAAGGACTTTGCCAGGGCGTAACATCCTGCTTGGTTCGCTTTTGGAGGAAACCTTTACTTGCGCTGCTGTTGTCAAGAATTCCAGTCTCATCATTTGCTCAGAAACGGGCAATGTGTGTATTCTTGAGGACGATGACAAACAGATGAAGTTGCAAAAGGTTCTTAACCTGGACTTTTCTATCTCGACGATTGCCGTTAAAGATAACGTTGCTTATGTTGGCGGCAGTCATGGCCATTTCGCCATTTTAGACGTTGAAGCGGTGTTGGATGCCCAACCAGCATCGGCATGCGTTAAAGATACAACATTCGCATCTGAGGGGCATCTTGCTGTGGGCTTTCTGGCAGACAACCTTGTCACCATTGACTCAAAGCAGTCCATTGATATCTGGAGCTCTGACCATGTGCCTGGCAAGGATAGTAAGGCCATGGCTAGCATTCCTATTCCCGGGCACGGACAGTCCGTGACAGGCATCCAGGTTCTACAGCGGCCCAACGATTTGGACGCCTCGTTTCTAACATGGACCGTCGGCGGCAACGTCACATTTTGGACGCTAGAAGGTCAGGTCAAGGCCTCAATTGATGTGCCTATCGGTATGACCGAACCTGAAAATGAGATGGACCCGGCGAACCAGCTGACTTGCGCCCGTACCACAAATGACGGCAAACTGCTTATCTCTGCCGATCGGATGGGTGTTTTGCGAATGACTGATATAGCAACCAAGGAGCCTGTCTTGGATATCAAAGCTCACACAGCTGACTGCCGTTCCGTAAGCGTCTACGACAATAATGGCAAATTTCTGATGGCGTCGTGCGGGCGAGATCGAACTGCACAGCTGTTCCATCGAACCGCCGATGGCTCCATTGAACACTTCCAGACACTGGAGTTTGCGGCGAAGGTGGTTCAGGTCATGGTCCCGTCCGAGGACAAGGTATTGACTTGCTCCTTCGACCGAACTCTGCAGATTTACGACATCATTACTAAAGAGGGTGACCCGGATTCTATTGCTGCTATCCCCTCAAGAGTTATCTCTTTAAAAGCTTCGCCTAGCTCGATGACTTTGGGTATGGGCCAGAGAACTGTATTTGTTTCTCTACTAGATCGAACAATTTGCCAGTACGATCTCAACACAGGACGCAAAATATCCTGCTTCAAATGTCAAGACGAGAACAGAGGCGAATCTGCTGTTTTGGACTCCTTGTGCTTTGGACAATGGCCCCCGAAAGATCAGGACTTCCTCCTTGGAACTTCCAACACAGATAAGTCTATCAGATTATACGACGCCCAAACGGGCAGCTTCTTGGACCGTGAATGGGGCCACACAGAAGCCATCAATGGCGTGTGCCTCGTTGAGAATGACGATGGAAGCCGCAAGGTTGTGAGTGTTGCATCAGATGGAACGATGATGATCTGGTGTTTGGATCTTGATGATCCTGTGCCTGGCACAACGAGCAGAGAGCCATCACCTGCTAAGGATTCAGTCTCAGCACGACCACCACTTCGCAGGGTGCTTTCGAAAGCTGAACTCGCTGAATTCCAACGGCCTTCGCCATCATCTGGACGAAAGTCCCCAGCATCAGGTCGGAAGTCGCCTCCACGAACCCTTCAACGGCGAACTTCACGATTCAATCTGGCTGCTAGTGTCAGAACACCAACACAAGCACCACCAATCAGCCCCAGTAGTACAGTGGCGGATGATACACCGTCACGACGACCTTCGGGCGACACACGGTCTAGTCCCCCGGTATCTCCGAAAGCGAAATCTATGAGACGACCTTCTACTTCTATGGGCACCCGCAAGAAGACCTCGTCGTCGAACTTGCGTGGTTTCGGCTCGGTCAACATGGCGACAGAACAGACCTGTCGTCAACTCAGGTCATTCAGGAAAAAGCTGGCCTCTTCAGAACCCATTAGCCAAGACAACCTGACTGAACTGGACCAAGAGCTGCGGTTGACAGCAGCAGCTCTCGGCGATCGGGCTATTCGAAGCAGGGCAATGAATGAGACGGTTCTTAGCGGCCTTTTAGATCAGTACTCAGAGAGACTGATCACATTACTAGACGAAAAGTTACGTCTGAACTACCAACCAAGGTCTCCAACTGAAAAGGATGGAGACAGTCAGGACGATGAGACTCAGGGCAGCGTGGATGGGTCCTCAAGTTCGCTCTCATCGTAACCTTTTACTCCCTTTTGTGTACTACCACCAAAACCGTTCCTTTTTTATTATTATGTTCATCTGGTTTATGTTGGCAATGGCGTTATGTGGTTATAGATTTGATGGGACGGGTGGTTATTGAACGGGGGGCAAGCACGGAGCGTATCCGGATGCCAAGTTCCAACATGATACCATGGAGTTTGGAGTCTTTGCTGCTACTTGCTGGGATTTAGTCCGCTATAACAACCGAAACCGGCGTTAGCTAACAGTCGATTGGGTCATCCAACGACCTTTAAAATGTCTCTGATTCCGTTTCTTCGTGAAGTTTGTGAAATACGACAGTAAATTTGAGCACTAAAAGAATAATTGTCTTCCTTGTTAAAGCGCTTTACGCGCCTGGAATAGCGTGTTGGTCTTCAGGGGTATCACGTGCTGAGCCAGGCCTTAGCGTGTTAGCAGGTTGGAGAAACGCAGCCCGATTTTTCTTCCCTGCATCATCGAAATCAACATTAGAATTCATTCCGCGCAATATCTTCGGCGAAACACATCACGTGACAACTTGACAGACGATCGCGATTACGGGCAAAAAATTAACCACACTACTGGTCCGACGGTCGAGCGCGTTTCGCAACGAGAGGTTCCCAGACGCCCAGCACCCGATGAAAGGCCTCGAGGTCGCCATAGACGGTTTTGGAGTTCTTGACTAAGGTTGCCTGTACGTGTTTTATCCATAGAACCCCGGCCATGACGTAGCCGTACTTGTGTCGCGACAGACGCCTAACTGGACTTCTTCCAAACCCATATAGACCGTGGCGCCAGTCCATCTTCTTGCACGACGTGAAGGCCCCCTGGAAAGCTGGCGAGGTGGATCGTGGGGCATGAATCAACCAGCCGCCTACACGTCCCTCGAGTCGCTGTTACTATTCCAGTCGTTGTTGACTCAAGGTGTCGAACCTGGGGCCTTCGCGCGTATCTCTGAGCAACTCAAAGAGAATCCGCTTATCAAGGAAGAGGCCAGTTATGATCCCGCACGATTAAAGCCCGATGCGCTTCAGCATCTGTTCCTGCGACTGTTTGGGGAGGAATTAAGAGGCGATTCCGAGAAGGCTACAACCGACGATCACGCAGCATCACCGAATTCGCAAAAACGAAAATCTGAGGGATCTCCGCTACCGACGCTGAAAGAGGTGTACGACAATGTTGAAAAGGCCCAATCGCTCATCCAGCGCCTCTGGCAGCGTTACCATGCTAAGATTGTTGGTCAAATTCGAGAGGATGAACAGAAAATCGAAGCGGTCCAGAAGGATATCAATCTCCTAGAGCGATCAGCACGAGAACGGCGCGCTAGAGCCGCAAGTCAAAATGGAACGCCTGTGCTAGCTGCTAGGGACCAGAAGGCTTCGATTCCGTCTAACGGGCCGTCACCGTCACCTACTGCGACAACGAGTGCGGCGACCCCAGTTCGAAAAGGACCTACACCACAAACGCCGGTACTGCCACCAAAACCTCCGGTTCCTCAGAGTGCCCAACCCAGCGTTGCACCACCAAGCCATTTGCCCGCTGGAGCGACGCCGATACGGCCTTCTCCTTCGCCTAATCCACCCAGTGCTAATGGCTCAGTTCTTCAACCTCCACCAGGAGTTCCTCAGACTGGACCACGGCCGCTACAGGCTTCACAAGCTCCCAAGCAGGCTTTGACTCCACGGCCAGAGGCTGGCGCAAAACCGAAAGACGGCAGTGCAGTTCCTCAGAATGCATCCCCGGCTGGAGCTCCTCTTAAGTGGGAGAAGCCTTATCAACCGCCACAGGCTGCTCACACGCCTCCACGACAATTTCAGTCACCTCTTGCGCCAGGGCCAATAGCTCCACCACCAGGGCAGCAGCATACCCAACAGCATCCTCAGCAACAGCAACACTCGCAAACACATACGCAATATCCCCAGCAGGCGCCGCAACAGCAACAGTGGTACCCTCAGCAAAGTGCACAGTTCTCTCCCAAACCTGGAGCTCAACCGCTATCCTCTCACCCTCAAACGCCCCAGCATGCTCAGGTTCAGCCTCGACCACAACCTGTTGCTCCGCAACCGCCTCAGGCCCAGCATCAGCAACAGGGACAACAAGCTCAACACCAGCAGCAACGTCCACAAACTCACCAAGTTATACAACCGCCGCAGCCAGCGTCAGCGCAGCAAGCTCCCCGAACCCCCCAAACACAACATACTACACCATCTCAGCAAACTCAAAAACCTCATACCCCTACACCAGCCCAGCTTGCTCAGGCGCAACAGTCCCAGCAAGGTCACGTTCCTGTCCCTCATATTCCTTCCCAGCAACAGCAGTTCAAGCCTCGACCAACTCCCACAAAACCAGGACTGGCACCGCCTCAACATGCTGGTCAAATACCACCACCTCTGCAACCAGCTCCTCCGCGACAATCAGTAGACTTGAGTGCGGGCCAGACGCTGCAGGCTCGGCCGTCTTCGACAACACCTGTGCCGCATCCTCGTCCTATCCAACCACCACTGGGACAAGCACAGCAGGTTCGACCGATTGCTTCAGCCTCGCCAAATCCTCCCCCAGGAAGTGCAGGTCCTATTGCACCACCTCAGCAACGGTGGCCGCAAGGGTATCAGCCTCAACCACCGCAGGCGTCGCCAGCTGGCCCTTCTGCCTCGCAGGCTTCAAAACCAGAGAGCAAGAACCAGCCCCCTCAACAAGGTCCTCAGCCTCAAGTACCTGGCGCCTTGGGACATATCATTCGCCAAGCTCTCAGTACTCCAGTGAAGAGACTCGGTACACCTCCTGCGCCACACACACCTACGTCAACCTCAGTACATATTCTCCAAGGATTTGGAACAAAATGGGCGCCGCATTCAACTCCCTCGACCCCTGGTCCTGGCCATGCGAACGCAGCTCCCCAAAGTCCAGCTTTTGAGCCAGTCAGTCCGCCTTCAAAGAATGCGACTCTTCCCAGCTCTGCTGCGTCTACTCCAAAACCTAAGAAGCAAGCGCCTAAGGCAGTTCCGAAGCTTGAACAGTCGGCTCCCAAATCTGTTCGGGGTCGATCCGCCAGAGCTAGTCAGAAGGCTCGCGGAGTAAGCTCTACTCCTTCAATCAGTAGGTCGAGGCGAAGCCAGTCTGTGATGTCTCACAATGATGAGCAAGCAACACAGGCTAGCGAAACAGCCACCAGGATTAAGGATGAAGATGCCACACCTCGGCCCACAGAAGAGACTGGTGATACTACTGCTGACGAGAGTATCCCTGGTCGACCTCAGATTATGACCCCTGGAAGTGTCTCTTCGCGGCTTCATAAGCGAAAGCGACAGGGCACGCCTCCTGAACTACCAACCGAGACAACCCAGGTTCTGTGGACACGAGGTTTCACAAAGGTGTCATCGTCTGCTCTTGACCAGATCTCGAGCCACCGTGACGCCAACATGTTTGCCACTAAACTACGTGAGAAGGATGCACCAAACTATCGCCAGATTGTGTTGCAGCCACAGGATATAACATCTATCCGGTCTGCTATCAAGCACGGAAACAAGGCTGCGGTTCAAGCTGCCGCAAGCCTACCTAATGGTGATCCTGGTACTGCGCATGTATGGCTGCCCATGTCTGAAGAGCTTGTCCCGCCTAAAGGCATTATCAATAGCGCTCAGCTTGAACGTGAACTCGTTCACATGTTCTGCAACGCTGTCATGTACAACGCCGATCCTGATCGTGGCCCCGGACCAGCTTTTATGAAACGGTCCCAGGAAGAGGAGGAAGAGATAGTAGGCTACCGTCTCGACGAGAACGGCGTCGTGAAAAACACTCGCAGCATGTTTGTCGAGGTCGAGAAGCTTTTGGGCGATCTTCGAAGTGCAGAGAAGGAAAGGAGTGCGCCTCCACCATCCGCTCGCCCAGCCAGCGTCGCTACACCCGCCGAGGAAACGGGCGACGACGATGACGATAATGGAGAACGTGAGACTGGAACTGCTAAGAGGCGTCGTATCGGAGCCCGGGGCTAATCATCTTGGGTTGAATTGATCATAGAGGCCACTATGCCCTCGGCTTGGATGCCAGCTTTATGCGCTGCCGAATAGTAGGCAGCTTGTACTTGTTTTTATTGTTGTGTAAAGCGTCTAGAATAGCTAGCTCCCTGTTAATTACCACCACCCAAGGCTCGCGTTATTCAACGCTAGAGTCATACACACATTAACTGCTTTCATCCGCCTCGTGAAATGTATTGAAATATTCCTACTAACTCCAAACACCTTTGCTAGTGTTACATCGTGTCGTCTATTGCCAAACATCAACTCATGAGCAGAGACTGTTTACTCTAGTTTAGCGGCCCCTTGGGATGTGCTCGACCGGTTGCTCTGCACGCCCTTTTTAGAGCTAGCATCGTCATCGGCAGGCCGCTTGCGAGGCCAGTCAGGACAGATATCAATATTATCCCTTGGAAACCACCACTCGAGGAACAAGAAGAAGAGATAATCCACAACACAACAAAGACAGAACAACTTTCCAGCCCAGATACCGCAGCCGTAGTAGCGTTTTAGACGGTCAATGAGGGCGAAGTTTCGTATGCGGCTGCCGTAGCCTGAAGTATCAACACCGTAGAACTCGTCCTCTGGGATGGTTCCTGATATGCCGTCGTAGACACGCTCTGTGCGCATGGCGACGTTTTGCCATGAGTACATCTTTTTGACCTGTTCGTGGAACTTTTCGGTCCGGATCTTGCCGGCGCGCATGGCGCTGATTGCTTTACTTGTGGCGAGAACAATATCATCTTCTTCTGGCTTGGCAAAGGTTGTCATGTGGGAGGGGAGGACTTCTGGAATACCACCAACGGCGGTACACACAACGTAGAGTCCACAGCTGGCAGCTTCGACAATGACGGTGCCGAAGGCTTCGGTGAGAGATGGATGGAGGTAAATGTGCCCGCGAACCATGACATCGCGAACTTCTTCATGGCGAATAGGACCAAGCATTTCCACGCGATCTTGAAGGACATTAGTTTCGATCATTTGCTCTAGGTCGATGGCTTTAGGACCAGAGCCTGCGATGATGAAACGTGTGTTTGGGTGGTTCTCAAGCACGCGGGGAATAGAGGCGATAAGAAGATCTGTACCCTTGTTGTAGAAGAGACGAGAGATGACGACGATAGTGATGGTATCGCGAGGGCCAATTCGTTGTGGCGGAGGATAAAGCGGTGCTTCAGGATTGAAAGATGTCGCTAGGGGTGAAGGTAATGCAGGAACATCCTTTGGACGGAAGTTTTCTGCGACAACAGCGTTGGGTATCACCGAGACCATGACTGGGTCAAGAGATGCACGAAGCACTGTGTTTTCTTTGCTGTATGGAGTTAGGGTATGCTAATAGTTGGATGATAAACGATGACTGACCATGTATGGCTTACACAAATACTGTGATCAACATCACTCAGAATGAATTTCATGAGCTTGTTAGTGAGAATAGTACCCGCATCAGCGAAGCCAAAGAGCGAGTGATCGGTAAAGACCGTTCTCAAACCCATCGTACGGGCATGCAGAATAGCCTCATGACAAAGACTGCTAAGACTTCCATGACCATGCACAATCTCGATTCTCTCACGAATACATATGTTTCTGAAGATGGGAAAGAATGAGAAGACGGTTGGAAACGTGGCGGCGCGGTAGATAACTAGGAAGGGAACGTGGTAGACTTTGACACCGTTGGTAAGGTAGCGGATGCCTTTGCGGTCATCGTAGGCATGGGTGATGATAATGACCTTGTGGCCACGGTCGACGAGCTTTGTGGCGAGTTGATAGATGTGAGATTCGATGCCCCCTGGTTGTGGAAAGAAGAAGTCGCTAACCATAGCGATGTTGTATGTGCGGCGTGTCATGATGGCGGTTAGAAAGGGGGATCCGCCGGCCCTTTCTCAGCTATATAGCGTATCAATCAGCACTTGCTGAGATGTAAGGCATGTATCTGAGGCCGTCTGATTATGGAGATGTCGATTGTTGAATGGTAGATGAGATGCGTCTCATTCAAAGTATTGTCTTCTCATATTGAACCACGTCTAAGTGAACAGGGGTGAAGTAGACAAGCGTTAGAGAGTGGAGCTGGCCAGATGGGCGGGAAAAGATGGCGTAAAGCTTGGGAGGTATCCAAGTCTCATCTCAAACTGACTCAGTCATGCCAAACTGTGTTTATCAATGTCAAAAAAAGAAAACGAAATTAAATACAGATGAGAGTCATCTTAGTTTTTAGTTCAGGCGTCTTTAATAAATTTGATCGATTATTGTTTAGAATGTAAGTGGTTAATGAACATGTACAGCTTGTACCTGAACATGCACGGACCGAGCCAGAAATTTAGCGGTCAACAATGGCAGAAACCCGATAAGATCTCAATCCACCCAAAATTTCTGGGAATTTGAAGCGACTTGAGGCCCCTCCATCGCGAAATCTGGCGAAGCAATTGTCGAAAAAATGTATGCCAGATACGTTCCTCCCCCAAAGGGTGGAAACACCTCCAATTCGGCTCCTTCAAATTCTGCGCCATCACCAAGAGTCACTACAAACGCAGCTCCTGCTCCTGCGCCCGCTGCCAATTCATATGGCTATTCGCGATACGTCCCTCCGAGCGCAAAGCCTGCGCCGCCTCAACCTACGGCTCCCCAGAAGCAATACTTTGACGATGAGCCTACAGCGACTCCCAAGAGGAAATTTGATTTCACAGAAGAGGCGCAAAACTCTCCCCAGCCCGACAGTAAAAAGTCAAAGACAGTAGAGCCAAGTACGCCGCAAAAAGCAAGCGAAGAAGCGCCCAAGAAAAAGAAGAAGGTTAGAAGAGGCAAGAGAAGAACAGCAGCCAAGGACGATTCCGACGATTCCGATGATGAGCCAGCGCAGAAAGCGCCTGAACCCAAATCCGAAGCGCAAAAGCCTGTGGAAAAGGACGAGCCCAAGGAAGCAGAGGATGTGCAAGAAGAGAGTCGCGCTGTAGAAGAGGACACTGCAGAGGTGAAGGAACAGCAAAAGAAGGACAAGAAGAAGGATAAGAAAGAGAAGAAGGAGAAGAAGGAGAAGAAGAAGGACAAAGAAGAAAAGCAAGAGTCCGAAGAGTCCAGTACTCCCACGGTCACAGCCGAGGATGCCGATGAGGATGTACCCATGGTCGACGCCGCCGAACCCACAGAGGAATCCAAGGCTATTGCCAAGGAGCCGGTAGCGGAAGAGAAAGAGACAAAAGAGAAGCGAAGAGAAAAGAAGAAGAAAAACAAGGAACCTCAACCTACTGAGGAGGAGGAAGAAGACAAGGAAGAGAAGAAGCGGCATAAGACTGTTATGGAGCGATTGGAGAAGTCTCTCAAGCTGGCTGGTGAAATGGCCCCAGAGGAAGACGACGAGGAAGACCAGGGCGAACTCCATGGACTCGAACCCCTACCACAACCAGCACCTGTAGTCACACTCACCGATGCAAAGCCGACTGACGACGAGACTCTTCCCCCCTGGTTAGCAAAGCCCATCCGGGTTTCGCAGGATACTCGAACACCATTCTCTAAGCTCGATATTCTACCCAAAGCCTGCCGTGTGTTGGAAGAGAAGGGCTTTAAAGATGCCTTTGCTGTGCAGACTGCTGCTCTTCCTCTGTTGCTTCCTACAAGCAGACCCGGCGACGTGTGTGTTTCTGCAGCCACTGGTTCCGGAAAAACACTCGCCTATGCTTTGCCTGTCACGCGGGATATTAGTCAAGGTTGCCTCACCCGATTAAGAGCACTGGTTGTTCTACCGACTCGTGAACTGGTGAAGCAAGCTCAAGAGACGTTTGAGCTTTGCGCTAGAGCGTTTGATGGTGGTGATCGTAAGAGAGTCCGAGTGGGTATCTCTGTTGGTAGTCAATCTTTCGAAGATGAGCAGAAGGCTTTTATGGAACAGGAGCTCCGATACGACCCTGAAGCATACAAGAAGCTGCAAGAGGAGACTCAACAACAAAATCAGTTGAAGTTGGGTCTTTCCGCGACAGACAGCCTCGAGGACCTTGAGGACACAGACCCTCGATTGAGCAACAGGAACGGCTACGTTGCTGACTTCCTCTCCAAGATCGATGTTTTGATCTGCACACCCGGTCGACTCGTCGAGCACATGGAGCAAACACCAGGATTCAGTCTCGACTACGTTCGATGGTTGGTAGTTGATGAAGCTGATAAGCTTCTGGCGCAGAGCTTCCAAGGCTGGCTGGATGTGGTCATGGAAAAGTTCCGCGTTAACAAGCCTACTGCCCGCGATTTCCCCGACATCGACTTTTCTGGCGTTCGGAAGATCATTCTCAGTGCTACGCTTACTAGAGACTTGAGTTTGCTCAACCAGCTGGGCTTGCATAGACCGCAGATGATCGTTCTGGAGAGTGACGGTGATGTCCAGATCGCCGAGCATTCTCTGCCTGGGCAGTTGAAGGAATTCTCTATCAGAGTCCACGACACGGGTCTCAAGCCTCTCTACTTGCTTGACCTTCTCCGCAGTCAGGATATGCTCATGGCCAGTCCTAACAAGGATCTGGAAACTTCCAAGCCTGATGAGGCTGCAGACTCAAATACTAGTTCTGATTCCGATTCAAGCTCCGATTCAGATTCCGACTCTGACGCTACCTCCGACACAAGTTCGGACTCTGATTCCGACTCTGAATCTGAGGCCAAGCCTAAGGCTTCAGGTCGATCACTCAAATCACATGTCCCTGCCTCTCTCATCTTCACAAAATCCAACGAGGCCGCACTGCGTCTATCGCGCCTGCTTGCTCTCCTGGATCCTTCATTGGAATCGCACATCGGCACACTCACATCCACAACGCCAACACATATCCGCCGCAAGACCCTTCGAGCATTCTCAACACCCTCATCCCCCATCCGCCTCCTCGTCGCCTCCGATCTCGTCGCCCGTGGTATCGATCTACCCAATCTCGACCACGTCATCAACTACGACCTACCTCCTAGCGTGTCAGGTTACGTGCACAGAGTTGGTCGTACAGCACGAGCTGGTCGGTCAGGATGCGCATGGACGCTCGTTGGAGATGACGAAAGTTGGTTCTATAACAAGATCGGAAAGAATGCAGGCATCAAAAGAGGTCAGAAGATGGAGAGGACAAGAATCGAGGAGATTGACGAGAAGCGTGTTGAAGAGTATGAAGCTGCTTTGGAGAAGCTGGGACAAGAAGCCGGAAGGCGATAGAGGCGTAAAGGACATAAAATTAGCATGCTTAGGATTAATACATAGAATCAACGTGTACATTTGGACTATCTATCAAGAACCCCGGTGACTTATTCTGCCTCTCCTTCAAGCTAACCCGGTACCTAGCGACAGACAAAGGTTTGTGTGCCTGAATATAACAACACAGATCCTTTCCAGGATCGGGAAGGATACCTCTGAGATTCGGGTTATTATTATAAGATGGCCTAAGTGCTAGTCTAAGGAAACATAAAGCAACCGAATTATTTCGTCTCTTATGATTTTAGGGGCCAGTTTTCCTAATAATCTGAGGGTCCTCCTCCTTTCGTGCCATCTGCAACGGAAGCCAACAACTTCTTCAGTTCGCAGTACTGCTCTGGGTTCTGTTTTTTTGCTAGGGTACGAAGTGCAATTTCGTGAAGAGACTTGTCTCGATTGGCGTTCTTGGACTTCGCAAGAGCTTCCTTGGCATCAAAGACATTCTTGTAGAGGCTTCGAATGACCTCAGAAGTGACAAGTTCGTCTACCAAGTCGGTTATCTCAAGGTCATCTTGTGATTGGTCTTGACGTTGAGCTTCTTTGACGGCGAAACGTACTTCTCCGTCGAGCGGGTAAAGACGCATGATGTTGAGCACGTGGTCCAATTGCTCTTCCGTAAACCCCCAATCGCGGAAGGTTCGAAGTAAGGCGCGGGTAGAACGTCTACGTTGTTGTTCATGATCTAGAGCACCTTGAGCTTGTGGCTCCTCAAGGCCACTCCCGAAGATAGCAAAAAGTATCAGTGATTCATAAGAAAGGACTTGCCGGATCTTGCAACGCCTGAAATGAAGTGATTTCTAGCTCTTGCATCATGCATGCCAGTAAGACATTTCTGCATAGGCTCTGGTAGATTGTCATAGACCTCCTGAATCAATTCAGGGGCGGCTTTGTTGCCGTTGACGTTCTCAGTACCTTTGAACTCGGAGACTAGATCAACCTCAGGTAGCGCCTGTCGAATCGCAAAGTGTAGCGATACGCTTGCTGACTCCGAAATTCTGGAAGATAAGGCTTGGCACTGGGAGGATGCTTTAGTGCGTTCAAGGCAAAGGATTGCGCCTTTATGGTCTTTTGGGAGATAGCCATCTTGATGGTAACCTCGACAAGCTCACTTTCGTCAACTCGTTCGACATACTGAGCAATGGTCTCCTCCATGAGAGTGGCATATGGTAGACCGACCTTTGGATCAATGGCACCCTCAATTCTTGGATGGGTGATGATCATGGTCCGGTATTCCTCAGGTCGATGAAATCGACACAATGACCTCGGAACATGTGGTCAGATGCGTTATCAGAACCGGCATCAGG